GCACTAGGTCAAAACACTGGCATTAAAACAGCGAACAATAGCCCAAACACCATCATATTATTTTTGTAATTTAAGACTACTTTTTTTTTTACCTACTGTATTTTCAAATGAATGGGTGAAATAGCAAATTTTAAACCATTTCCATATGTTTTTGAAAGGAATCTCGCGACCCCCCCAGTGGGCCGCGACCCCCACTTTGGGAACCACTGACTTAGAGGATATCAGGATAATAACAGAATTGAAATCAACAGTCAGGCCAAACAGAGAGCAGTCTACAAAATAAAGTAAATGCTAAATAAGAGGAAAAGCAAAGATACAACAGACAGAAGATTAAACGTAAACAAAATGATGGAAAGTGGCCCTAATGGAGAAATATGATATTTGAGTTTTATTGGCCTTGTTTGTAAATCTCATACTACTATACTGTCTGCTAAGATATATGTGCAGTATCTCTTTAACATGTGTTGGGATGTGTCAGAAAGCACAATAAGCCTGCCCCTTTGGTAGTTTGATCCCTCCCGCGCCAAACAGTCCAGCCTGCAGGATGGCGAAACAAAGTGTCCCAAAAGCGTTCACAGTCATCTCGAAACTAGTGAACTGTTGACATCGCTGTCTGGTAAGTTCATTCCTTTAATTGTTTAAATATATAATATAGGGTAAAAAGGTAGCAGAGCAGATTGGTAAATTAGCAGCGGTTCTGTAAGATAAAGTGGTTCACGTTATTTCTAAAAAAGGTCTATTACTTTATTAGTCTGTTGTACCAATTAAGACGCTTGAATTAAAGATATTTGCTGTAATAATGTATGGAAGGTTATTGACTGTTCCGCGCATGCGCGTTGCTTTTTGGGTCAGTACGATACAACGAAATTGTGGAACTTCAAGACCCTCTGTTATTTCAAAACTAAATGTCCTTAATATTGAAACCGCTTCCTCTCCTCCCTAATTGTACTTTGTCATTAAAGCCTTTCTTCAAAAAGTTACCAAAAGGAGGCTTCTTGCACCAGAAATCTCAGATCCAAAACAATGAAGTCATAAAAAACAAAAAGTGCAATCTTCATGTCTTGACGCCACAAGATGTATTAAAAACATCACAACTGAGGTCAGCAAGCTTTTTAAGAGCACTATGCACAATTAGCAGGCTTATGTGTTCAAGTAGACGCGAGTAAATGAATTCTTAGGTAGCTGTTTGACACCAAACAGGGTGAATTTTGGTCTTCTTGGTGATATCCAGATTAAGAAAAAGGTACTATAGAATTACTGTTTTTTACATGTGTTAAAACGTGTAGAAAAAAACCCCAGAAGAAATCAATTATTTAAAATAAATACTGCACAGCGATCCAAGGTGGCACATTTATACAACACAGATACAGTATTGACCTTTAGTATATTATAAAGCTGTTTTATAACAACAAGCAGATATGTTGTTGATCCTGGTTCTATATCTGTCTTTTAGTAAAACTGCTGTTACAGTTGATCATTTCTAACATTTTTCCAATCCTGTCTCAGCCTCTGCATCCTTGACTATCAATGATTCACATCCTGCACACAGGAAGACTTTACCTGGGAAATACCAACCAGAGAGTGAGTGGTTAAAAAAAGTAGATTTAGATAAAGTGGCTTTTGGTTTGGTTAGATTGTTGTTTCTTGTTTCAGTCTTGAGAATTTAAAGTCTTTTTATTTCTCTTTATGGGCCTGGCACAAGTGTTGCTCTAGCTTTTCCAAGATGATGCGTGCGGTTTGTGTTGACGTACCAGGAGGACCAGAGAATTTACTGCTCCGAAGAGTCCCCAGACCTCAGCCTAAAGAGGGAGAAATCCTGATTAAAGTTCATGCAACTGCCCTCAACAGGGCAGACTTACTGCAGGTATAATGCACATTTTACATAGCTAATGACTCTACGATATCCTTCATATACATACTGTTAAATGTTGGTTTTGATTGATATTGTGGTGTATAAGTAAACATTGTGGTTTTAAGACAATCTTTGCTCATACTCTACAATGTATGTGAAATGCTTTTCCACAGAGGCGAGGACTGTACCCTCCTCCCGCAGGTGAGAGTGACATCATAGGCCTGGAGGTGGCCGGTACTGTGGATACCCTGGGTCCTGGGGTTAAAAGAGGCTGGAGGCCTGATGACAGGGTGATGGCCCTGCTATGTGGAGGAGGATACGCGGAATATGTTTCAGTGCCTGAGGATCTTCTCATGTCCGTTCCCCCTAATCTCACACTCTGCCAGGCTGCTGCGATCCCAGAAGCCTGGCTCACTGCTTTTCAACTGCTGGTGTTTATAGGTGAGAGAGAGAGAGAGATATATATATATCTGTCTCTCTCTCTCTCTCCACGGCAATGTCAGAACTTTTTATTAAAATGACCATGTCATCCAGCCATTTTTCTTTGTATTATTAAGTGGCAAGTTGACAGTTTTTAAACAGTGGCACTAATCTGGTTCTTGAAAGTAGTTAAAACTACCACAAATAACACATTTATTAAGAAAATCTGGTATTCATTTTGTGAGTTTCCACTTGATCTAATACTACCTCCCACCTATAACCTCCTCCTTCTATAATTAATAAAGTGGTCGACATTGAAGTCTGAACCTGCTGCCATCGGTCCCCTCTCTTACAGCTCAGGTGAAGGAGGGCGAGGTGGTTCTGGTTCATGCTGGAGCCAGCGGAGTGGGAACAGCTGCTATTCAGTTGGTCCGTCTGTTTGGTGCCGTGCCTGTCGTAACTGCAGGGAGCTCAGAAAAACTGAAGATGGCCGAGAAGCTGGGTGCAGCAGCTGGATTTAACTACAAAGAGGAGAGATTTTCCCAGGGGGTACAACACTATACAGGAGGTGAATTGTGTGTACATAATTATGATTAGTTTAGGGGAATAAGGCTGATTTCTGATAATCAGTCACTGGAATGATTGTCATATTTATTTTATTTTGTCCAAACTTTTTCTCGGGAATAAAACTTGACGTACACCATATTATTTACCTCATAAGATATGATAGAGCTGTCTCCATGTTTCAACATTAGTGCTTTGTTCTATGTTTTTAATCATGTTAAGTGTAAAAAAAAAAACATGTTAGTCCATTTCTCAATACTTTCTGACTTCCCTCCATAGCTGTGGTTTATCTATAACTGAAGACAAAAATCTCTATAAAGGCCAAGTAATTACCCACTAAAGAAACATAATGAAGTCGTTAGGGACTATTTTTAAAGACGAAACACTTTTGGTGCTGTAGCATGAAGTTAGGGAGATACGCTGTAAGTTTGTTGGAATCTTATATTAATATAAATATAATGAAATATCTGCATTATTCTGCATCATCACCGAAAATATTATTTACAGGCAAGGGAGCAAACGTCATCCTGGACTGCATCGGTGGAACAAACTGGGAGCAAAATGTGAGCTCTTTAGCCATCGACGGCAGGTGGGTGCTGTATGGCACCATGGGAGGCCGGGGACTAGAAGGAGATCTGCTGGGCAAACTGCTCTCCAAGCGAGGCCACTTGCTCTGCAGCCTCCTCCGCTCTCGCAGCCTTCAGGTGACAATTGCGACCAAATGGAAATGATACATCACTGTATGAACTTGTGCTGAATAATATCAAGTGGAAATGTTGTGTTTGTTGTTCGAAACTGAGCTCTATATTTGCTTTTTATTTTCCCTTCTCAGTACAAAACAGAGCTGATACAGGCCTTCTCGAGCAGAGCGTTGCCGTATTTTTCAGACCAGCCAGCCTCTCTAAAGCCAGTGATCGACAGCACTTTCAACCTGGAGGACATCGCAGAGGCTCACAGGCACATGGAGGCCAACAAGAACATGGGAAAGATTGTTATAAATATGATCCCACAGAAACAGGAAACTCAGTGATGAGTGATCAACTGCAGTTAGATGTAATCGTTTTAAAGTAAATTTGTTTGATTTTTAAATTTAGCTTTTCTAAAAAAACTGTTCTCCATGTCAAATGATTTTGAATTGGCCTTATCCACCAATAGACCAAGGGTGATTTTTCTCAATGTTTTTTCTTCCTGATAAGTAATAACTTACACAGATTTAGCCACTGCTAAATGTATATCATCAGTACTGTTTCCTCTGCACAGATATTACAAGAATACCATCACATTTAACAGAAAACTGTCAAAAGATATCTAATGTAAAAGCAGAGCTACTGTCCTGTCAGATATTCTAGAATTGAAATGAACTCATCTATTGTATATGCATTGCATTTTTTCACAACAAAGGCATAAAATGAAATGGTGCATGCAATGCAAAAATCACATAAAGTCTTATAGTCTTCGTTTCCAGTAATGTATCCTTAAACTTCTCAATTTTAGTCTTGACGTATATTTTTTTCTAGCTTATTTTACATTATAATTCTTTGCTTGCTCTAATTCGGGGGTGGCAACTGGCGGCCTGGGGGCCACGTGCGGCCCTCTTCAACCCTCAATGTGGCCCTCAGGTCAATTTTTATACATCAAAACATGACAAAATCTGCCATGAAATCATGAAAACCAGAAATATTTCCATAATAATATTTGCTCACTGGTATATGTTGAGTTAAATTTGAGACATAATTGACTTGTTATCGTTTTTGTAATCCTACAATTTGGCCCCCTGGCAGTGAGAATTAAATGAATGCGGCTCCTTGCTGTGACCAGAGTTGCCCATCCCTGCTCTAATTTTCTAATTAAATTATTAATCTTAAACAATTGCTGTGTTTTTTTAATGCATATATTTAATGTGGTGGTGGGGAGGGGGGGCTGTGAATATTCGACTTCACTATAGTCTTAAATATTTTTCTATCAGTTTTATGCTGTCAATATTTCACACAAACGGAAGTGTATTTGGAAAAAGTGTAAAAAAAAAAAAAAAAAGACGTAGCCTTTCTTTGAGTCATTAAAAATAGATATAAATCCAGACTTGTCGATGTGTAAAGCTGCGTATTTAAAACGCATCCGAGCAGGCGCCAACTTTACCAGTGACGTCACAGGGCACCTTCCCGTCTCACTTCCTTCTTCACCGCTGCGGCTCCTCTGAAATTTTCTCCGGGTCATCATTTGGAGGGGGCGAGAGAAAGAGAGAGACCGGAGAGACGTTTAAATAGCGGAAAAAACACGTGACAACAACACTTCATGGAACAAACTACAAGACGAACGACGGACACACTTCGGACTCTATGACTCGTCGACAAACAACGATATTAATTTGTCCAGTATGTGAAATTTAACTTCCTCCCCCCCCCCCTCATGCTGCTGCTGCTGCTGCTGCTAAAGTTGGCTAAGCCAGTTAGCAGTTTTGTCGTGACGTTTTCCCTGCAGGGTTTAACCACAGACTGTAAATATTACGGCTTTCGCACAAGATAAATCAAACAAAGTGAAATAATTGCGCTCTAGAAAAGTCTGAATGTGTCTTGTCTTCTGAAATTGCGTCAACTGTAGTAAACAAATGGCTGGGTTAAGCTGGTTGTACTTTCAGCATGCTTTCGAGTCAACTGCGGTTCATTTCACTTCCTCGCTGAAATCATGAGCTGTGTTAGTTACTTTGCTTGAATTCTTCTTACTGTTACTTGAAATAATTAAGAAAATAACGTGTGGTTCCTGAATCCTAAGCCGCCAAATCCGGAAACATGGAGGACCCAAACAGACCTCAGCGGAAGATGTCAACAGCAGGAGACAGTTTGTACAAAGTCCTGGGTCTGGAGAAAGGAGCAACTCCCGAGGAAATAAAGAAGACTTACAGGTTTGTTTGTGAAAGCTAATTCATCTGTCTTCGTTTTGTAGTTTAGCAGACAGTAGGAGGTGATGTGTGAAACTTTCATTTTCGAGTTGTGAGCCTGCTGCAGGAATTCAAATTCTTGGATCAGCTTAATTTACACACTTGTAAATAAAGCGGCGTGGCCCCTGTGTGTGTGAGAAAGGTGGGACCAAGTTTTTTTTTTTTTTTTCGTGGTTCACAAAGATGATCAACACCTCTGACAGGTGCCAAATGTGCAACTGCTTGAAGCATGACACAAGAACAAATAAAGGTTTCAAATTGCAGAACTTGTTCGTATAACAACTTGTTCTGTTGTTCCATTTTTCACCATGCACCTTACAAACTTATCATTTAGTATTTGCCTACTTGCACATAGCTCTGTATATATATTTTTATTTCTCGTTTACTGCGTATAGTTCTGTTTGCATCTGTTAGTCCGATCACTGTCCACTTATATCTACTCTTTTATATTTTGTATTTTTAAGCTTTAAGTTGTATTTAAATTGACACTTTATATTTAGGTTAAAATGTTTCGTTTACTTGCGCTGTTGTTAATTTACTGCTCTGTGTGCCTTTGAATTCCCCCCCCCCCTTAAGAGCTCATGGAATACATTGTGTCCATAGAGTTTACAAATTAACAACAGAAGTTTTTGCTGCAGTGTATGTACCATTTTTGGGAAGTTTCTCAATAATGACCTACATTTTATCTGATCAAAATTCACCATTTTTGAATATATTGAAACACTAACCCTAAAGTCCTGAAATGACTTTTAATCTACAGAGCACCTCTCCTTGTTTCTGGGATAGATACTGTGACTTTTAGCGTTATTTTGTTGTATCATCATCAGGTTTAAAATGTAAAAACTCCACACAAAAACAAAAAGAAATTATGTTAGCTGATTCCTTTCCTTTTACCTTAACTGTTGCTTTTCTGCTTAAAGGTAAAGTCAGTAGAAATGTTCTTTGCAGCTCGCACCCATATTGGGCCCCTCCACCAGAAGCGCACGCCCACTGCACTGCAAGCCACCTGAGAATATTACATTTGTTGTTATGGGAAAAAAACGATAATTTAGCAAGCTAGCACAAGCTTACTGCCAGTGTTTGGCACCTGCATGTCCAACAGAAGGCAGGATTATCTCCGTCCAAAGCAGCTCCTTAAAGGACCCATATGGGGATGAAAGCCAACCCAAGGTTCGACTTTGTCTTGGGACGAGCTTTGGCGCTTGGTGTTTTGCCTAACTATGATTTTAGTTTCTCATCTTTGTCGCTACGTCAGCGTCGGCCATATTCACCGGCGTGAATGGCGTCCGGTCGTTGAATTTGATTCACTCGCAAACCCACTTGTGCGCTGTCATTGGCTGGGAGAAACACACAGACTGCCCGAACTATCAAAATAGAGGCAGAGGACATGGCTCTCTGCAGACACAGCCTCCACCACACATGCATGGAGGCCAATAAGGGAAGATTTAGCAGCATTACTTTTGTAGAAGTCTATTCTTTAGGAAAATGCTACTGACTCTGCCTTTAATTTTGAATCGCTAATGTCAGAACCATGTTGTGTAGATTATAATAAATTTAGTCGTTGATGACAGCAATCCTATAACACCCAGTGGACGTCTACATCCTCAACATTCACGAACTTCTTCTTTGCAGAAAACTGGCGCTGAGGCATCACCCCGATAAGAACCCAGACAACCCAGAAGCTGCAGAGAAATTCAAAGAGATCAACAACGCCAACTCCATCCTCAGTGATGAAAACAAACGCAAGATCTATGACGAGTATGGGTCCATGGGCCTCTACGTGTCAGAACAGTTTGGGGATGAGAGCGTCAAATATTACTTCCTCATGTCCAAGTGCTGGTTTAAGGTGATGTTTCAAAGGCCTTCCTGTGCATATGATCATAACTGAGCTTTTATGGTGTTATGTTCCTTTTTATATTTTAACTTCTTTATTGTGCAGGAGTGGGTAGGTAGTTTTAACCTTTATTACATTTCATATCTTTCCTTTGTCTTCAGGCCCTTGTGGTGTGCTGCGGTATTTTCACATGCTGTTGCTGTTTCTGCTGCTGCTGTTTCTGCTGTGGGAAGTGCAAATCGGCTGAAGAGGAGCATTTTGCATACATGGACCCAGAGGACCTCGAGGCCGAGATCAGAGAACAGGATACAGGTGAGTGAATTTGTGCTTCCGGGTTCACTTTGGCTTTTTATTTTTAAAGTGATAATGAGGAAACCTCTCTGCTGCTCACATAATGAAACGGTGTCACTTCTGGAAAATCGCAGTTTTGTCTTGTTGATGTCTGAAACAAACGAGAGTGAAACTAAAAGCTGGTTTTATCGGTCTGTGTCGTTCCTCAAAATCTGCGAGGACAGGGTTGACTAACTTTTATGATACAACAGCAACGACAATCTGATACAAGACTAAGACAAGATCACGATGGCATGAGCTTACATTCTTCTGGCTCATTGTGAGAACTTGCTTTGTTTGAAAATAAATTAAAATGCAACAAAGTAATTACCGGTAAGCCACGAAGTTTAGCTGATGCCCCAAATATCTAAATTTAAAAAAAAAGCTTTCATGTCGGTTAACTGCACACAGCATGTTCACGTCTACTGGTCCGTTTTTAGGCATTTTAAAAAGCTTCTGTTTTTTACTACACATTGTGCTGTCTCTTGAGAAATGAGATGCATCCAGTGTCTAAATTAGGAAGTACTCTGGGGAATTACAAAATGGGTTTTGAACTCTTTGATAATGCAGTTTAATCTGGATTAAATGTTTATTATTATCATAAATTGAAAAGACTTCTGCTTGAAAGGCAATAGAAAAGTAACATCAATTAAGATATAAAGTTAAGTGGCTGGATTTCTAAATGGATACTTCTTTTCTGGATTTTCAGGGTAAGCATTGGTCAGAGTAGGGTATGGCTCTGCTCAACTCGACTTACATTCAACTCTTCCTGCTTTGTTTTTATGTGTAAACGTTGTTGATGATACATTGTACTTTTTCTGGCATTACCCCGGTCATGTTTGGTGTGAGCTGAGCTGCCTATTCAATAAGTGATCTGCCCAGTGCTGGGAGAACAGCCTATGTAAACATCTTCAACAGCTTACGTAGAGGTTTGAAGCTGCTAGTGAAATTCTTTGTTTCATATCGGGGAACTATCGCGTGATTAGCGGAACAAGCCGTTCAGCGCACTAATTTATCCTGAGAATTCTCCAACAATCACCTCATCTGAAACTTTGCCCCCCCCCCCCCCCTTTAGTGTGTTCATCCAGATTGTAACACTTTATGTGCGTTTTAAAATGGAGATCAGCATAATAGGTCAACCTCAAGGAGTGGTAACTGGTGTGTACCAAGAAAAACAAAACAAAAAGCAAATAGTCGAGTTGCGCTATTCCACGCAGTTCAAGTGAGGCTGATTGTGTGTATTCTGAAGCAACACCTAGATGGTGTTCATCTTAGCTAAGTTTTAAGACTCGAAACGGGGGGGGGGGTTGTGAAAAGAGGGAGAAGAGTTGCTAAAACTAAAACTAAAAACTAACTCTTAAAAACAAAGTGCATTAAAGCATCATTCCTGAAATGTGCTACCATTTCTTTAAATCCAGTTCAAGTCCCTGAGTCCGGTCATTTTGTCTGAGGAAGAAGCATGGATTTGCTGAGTGTTGCATTTTGTTTCACAGCTGGAGACCATGTAATAATAATTCAGCCGAGCCCTAGTGCTGCCACTGCCACTTCAGGTGAAGCTGTCACTTCATCAGGTAAAGTTCGCCTTGTCTGGCTGCTGCTCTGCTTCATTAATCTCACTAGTTCAACGCAGTGTTTCAATGGGGAACATGTTTGAACAGCTTCTAGCAATGCTGGTCCACAGGATAGACTGTGCATTTGACTAATCATGCACTCACATTTCATTTAACTTTACTATACTGCGTCAGTACATACTATCATTGATACTGTTATGTAACATTTCCTGTTTCCTTTGTTCATAACTGACAAAAAACTTTTTTGTTTCACTCATCGTTGTTTATAGAATCGTTACTCAAAAAAACAAACAAAACAAAAAAAACAGTAGAAAAATATACGTATATTTAAATTCTAAGACTTTATTAAAAAGTTCAGGGGTTCTCAATCTGGGAGTAAAATGATTCAGATAATTGAAGAATTGAATTTTATATCCTTTTTTTTTTTTTATCTTCATGTTAACTTATCCATCATTTAAAAAAATCAATTTCTTTGTTTATAAAGGACTCACAAAGCAGTGAACAAAGGCCAAAGATTCTCCGGTTATAGCAAAGTTATAAATTACAAAAGATGATTTCTGACTGGCATTATTTTTGGTATTTCTTATAGTTTTTATAATTTCCTGTCATATCTTTAAAGTCTTTATTGATTAAAGAATATGATAGAAAAAAATCTATCATTAACATACGTCAGAAAATACGTAAATATTTTTCACGTGACAATTTAGAGTGAGGAAAGAAACAACAAATCTAAATCCATATGAGAACTTGGAACCAGTGAGTGTTTGACATTTTAACCTTGATGAATTATTTTAATAACCACTAATACCTAACTTAATAAATACACTTTCTACTAATCCAGTCATTAAAATGAAACCTTCAACCTTCTCTACTAACAATCAAATCCTGTTTTTTGTTTTGTTTTGTTTTTTACCATTTGAAATTAAACATGGACTGTCTTTAAGTAGCAGACGTATTCCCTGTGACTTCACCCTTCTTTTTCTTTTTCTGCTTTTTAAAAGCTGTTGGTTTGTTTTTGTGTTGAAGCCACAAGTGAAGAGAGGGTGGTGCTCGCTGCTGGGGAGGGTCAGCAAATGCTAAGATATGAGTTAATGCTAGCGTTAACGTTGTTAGCAAGGAGCATTTTTAAATCACGGTAACTGTGATGATTTGGATAATAAATCTTTTAGCACTCACATTAACTTTATTAAATTGCAGTTCAACTTTGAGCAAGGCATTTCTTGAGGATGTGTCTTTGACTACTAATCTAAAGGTACTCAAACCCTCAATCATAACCTGCTTTGTTTATTTTATTTTTAAGAAGACTGTTGTTTCAGAAGAAAACCTGAGGCCATTTTCATTCTGCCATCATAGAGGTCAATCTGCTCTGAATTCATTTTCATCCAGTGGAGTCTCCCCTGCTGGTCATTGGAAATATTGCAGGTTTACAGAAATTAAACCTGGCCTTGAAGTCCCTGACACACCAAGGAGATCCGTCAGCCGTCGTTGAGCGATCATCGTCCTAGTTTTTGCGGTGTGTCCAGCTCCGTCGCCACCCGTCGGCCCTGGTCTGCCTCTTTTCAGCCAATTCGACATGTTGAATCGGCGTCGGCCGTTGTCGACGCTGTTGGTGAGAGGAATCACTCTGATTGGCTGTTTGGAGGTTTCATTTATCTCCAGCTTTCGAAACAGGTTCGAGAAAGCCCCTTGAGAATGCCGCTGTAGTATCCACGCTTTCCATTAGTGCGGTTTCTCCTTATTTGTCGCCTCTGCCTCTCCTTTTCTTTTTCCACTTAAAGACTAAGAGCTGACAATGGCCAGTTCCAAATTTTCAACTTTTTATCATACATTATTCTTGATTAGAAGTACTTATTTGTACCTTTTGCACAATTTAGAATTTATTACTGTAAATATTATTTATCTTATTTTTACCTCATTTTATTTTATCTATTTTATTTTATCTTATTTTACCTTATTTTGGTTGTATTGCACCCAACGGAGACAAACGCAATTTCGATTCCACTGTATGTCTGGCATATTTTGGAATTGACAATAAAGTTGACTTTGACTTATTTTACAAGTGGTGACCGACAGCGGTGTAAAAATGGTCTTCTCGTATCATAATAACGACTACCGCCGTCTGCTGGCATCGAGAGTTATTTCATCTCACTCGTGCAGAACGAACGAGGGTGTTGGCTGGTAGGCTTAGGCTTTGCGGTGTGTTCAAGTGCAACTTTTTGGCCAAGACAAAGGCGCTGTGAGGCGACGCCACAGTCACTAGTTCTTTGCCGTCAGCTTGGTGTGTCAGGGCCTTGAGTCTTCATACCTTGAGATTACATCCCCTTCTTTTAAACAGTCTACTTACAAGACAACAGCTCTGTTTTGAAGATAACGGGGGGGAAAAAAAGAAGGATGGGAAATTTAGCCGTTGTTTAATACCTTGTTTTTCTTTTCACACCTCCAGGTGAAAACACACCAATTGTGATTCAGCCTCATGCGACCAACGGGACCTCGGGGCCCGGATCCTCCAGCCAGCTGTCCAAGTCAGCTGAGAAATGAGTAAGTGAGTGGAGTCCTTCAGAGTCTGGACTGTCTGATTATACCACATCTGCATCAGCATCTGTAATGATCAGCGGCTGATAAGGATTTGAATGTTGCTAACGTGCAGAAATCATATTTATCTCAGAGGCTTGTAAAAGAAACAAGCGGCAATTTGATTGTGCCATAATTTCTATTTTTTAAAGTGCCAATGGTGTCTTCACTGCAATCTCATATTTATTTTTTTAACTTTTAATTTTTGGGTACAGTCTGAACTGCAGTGTCAAATGAGGAAGCCATGCAGATCAAAGCTCTGTAATATTTTTTATGCACTTTAATAATTCAAGTTCGTGTTCATGCCACAATGCTCTGAGAACATACCTGCTTATGATCTCAGTCAGAATATTTCAACGCAACATGATGGATTATTGGAGGCCAACCACTTGAAGTTTTGAGGTGTTTAGTCATACTGCACATAGATTCATATTCTAGAAAGGATGTCTTTATGTTTGGATGTCAACTGCCTGTTAAAACTCTGATGATAATATTTAAGAAACTCTCACTGCAAACAACATTTAGGGAAATATACTTGTTTGCTTTCTTTCTGAGATTTGATAATTTCTTGTTTTTATTTCTGGAAAATTACAAGCAAACTTCTGCACAGCATGTCCTAACTCGCATTTTAGACGGTATTGTCTCTCTTTTGCTCGCAGCAGTTTTGGGTTAAAAATACAACTGAAGATCAGATTTTTTTTTTTTTTAACTCTTCAGTACTTTAGAGAGATAATTCAAATAATTGGGATTGAATTGTTATCAAACAGGCAATGTCAAAGATTATTTTTTAAGTATTAAAAGTTTTGACAACCCTATCACAGATTACTGATCCAATACCAGTGTTGTATTTACTACATTTATTTTATGGAGGAAACTGGGATTATTCTTGAAATATGTAAGGCAACATCAGTCTGGACTTCAAGTTTGTTTTCCTGACTTTGTTTGCAAGGCTCGGTCAAATAGCCCGGTCAATGCATTCTGTAGTACACGCTCTTCGACGGTAATATAGAATCAAAACAAATAGATCTGCCCTGTTGAATACTTAATTGAAGTTATGTGATTGGTTGTATCCTATCAGTACGTCTGGAATAATAACAAATACTGTGGGCCTAGATCAATTTCTATCTATACATTTGAGTTTAATCTACTTATTCAGCACTACTATGGCAACAATACACATCCTGTTCCCATGCTATAAAGCACCTGATTATATTTGAATCCACAGTTTTGTAATTATCAATAGTTCATTCTAGCAGTAATCACAAGTTAGAAGCTGGTAGTTCTAATTTCCTCAGATAAGACATGAACGCATCATTAGATATAAGACTTGTGAGCTGTTATCCCATCTGAAGTGGAACCATGATGGCTGAAACGAAAGAATACACTTGCACCCCTCCAAAAGAGTTTTCAAGGAGTCATCACTGTGGCTTTTTGGAAAGTCCACTTCCCGTTTTATAATAAGTATCTAGTTTGAGCTGGGGCCAGGATGTAATTAGCCTAGCTTAACATTAAGAGAGGAACCAGAGGGGAAGAGCTAGCCTGATGAAGAAATTAAACACCAGACTTAGTTTTTAAAAATAATCAAGTCACCTAAGGGGTTTCAATCTGCGTCACAGTCACTAATGCCCTGTGCAGAAGTACTACTGTAGGGCGGATTGATACACTGTTTGTTACATACAATAGTTCCAGCACTTAACTGTCCTAAAGTTACAGCGTGATGTGTCTAATTTATTAAACGTACTTCCAGCGGGTTCACTCAGGAGCATTAGAGGTGTTGATTGGCAGATTTTTAGACTTTTAATTTACAGAAATAGGCTAGCTGTCCCCCCCCTGTTTCAAGTCTTTATGCTAAAATACGCAAATGTGAGTCACCTGCTGGCTGAAGCTGCACACTAACACAACACACAGACATGATAGTGGTATGAAACCTCTCATCGGAGTCTCATTAAGAAAGCAAACAAACGTGTTTCCAAGCTTTACTGAGCTTTACCTTCAAATGGATCTTTTATCGTTCTTTTTCGCTGTAGCTGAACATAAAGTGACCTCGAGCAAACAAATCATATAAAGGTACAGAAAAAGATTAGACAACAACATATACATTTTTAAACTCTCTTTACACTTGACACGAGAAAAGAACATGTTTATATACAACCCTCAACAACAGGACAGCGAGGTCATGATCCAGATGTGTCAAATCCTTCTTTTTAAAGGATGAAAATCCCTCTTATCTGTATGTGATGATGAGTGTGTGTATCATTATAATATGCTCCATTCAGGAAATGTGCTTTTATGTAAAGTGAGACATTTATTTTTTTTTGGATTGGAAATTTGATGACAAATGAATTGTGTGTATAAAGATACAGATTAAATGATGCCATCTCTCAAAATGTTTACATGATATGATGTGTCTTTGCCTGGTGTGGGAATGTGCAGGAGGGTTTGTGCTTCATTAGGTTCACTTTGTATAATATTATAGTATATGTGCACAGTGTATTTATGTAAAGCCCTAACCATCCCAGATAAATATTTAATTCTGTAACCTTTATGTATCATAAGACATACGTGACTGAGCGCCTGAATACATTTAAGTGGGATTTCTTTTCCTTTTCTTTTTGTTAGTTATTTTATCACAGATTTAAAATACAAATATATATATATATATATAGTTTTATCATCTCAACATTCCCAGGATTTTTTGTCATTTTTCAAATGTTACATGTTTCCAAATGTTTGTTTCTGTAACATCAAGATTTGTCGGATTAAATAAAGTTGGGTGAAAACGGGAATGTCAGCAAATGGTCTTGTAATTTTAAGCGAGTGGCGTTAGTGACCAGCACCCTGGAGATCAGTTACCTGCTATTGGTCCCTGTTGTGCTCCACCCCTGAGTGATAACACGTGTTGTTCCAGCAGGTGGTAAGATTCACTTAAACACTTTTTAAACTGAAAAGACGTCCTGCAGGAGAAGTCATACCAGGGAATGGAGGTTTCAGTGGATTCAGAGAAACAACATTTGATTGAGGCTCATTTGGAGCCACTAAGATGGTATGCGATGCTTTTAATTTGCTTCTTTTTTTTATTTCTGGACTTATGACTTTTTCATTACCTCTTTTTGTATGTTCAGGATAATATTTTAGGAAACCAGTCAAAGTTCTATCTTTTTCTCAGGCCGCGTTCCCCAGAGGGAAACTGTTCAGACTCGGCCTCAGCAGAGTTCAGTGACGATGTGTCCAGCATGGACGGCCTGCAGCAGCCTGAGCGGCTCTGCCAGGAGACGGACAACATGTCAGGTGCCGAAGGTGAAGCCAGACGTTTAGCCAGAAGGAAGCTTGCCATCGCCTGTGCTGTCAGCCTCTGCTTCATGACAGGAGAGGTGATTGGTGAGAAATGAATCCTGGACGTAACTGATTTTACCTGACAATAAGATATGTGTCCTGATTGATGTTTCTGAAGTGCTTTTCATTGCTATAATAGTGTTACACGTTAATGCACTTCAATACATTTCTCATATACTTTTAGTCTGAGAAACATTTCTGCTGCTTTAAATCTACAGTACTAGATTAATTCATAAGAGGCAATTAGTTTTTTTCATATGAAAACGTACTCCAATACTAACATATGATCACTGCTTTTGATGCAAATGCTAAGAAAACTAAAACTGGATCAGATGCAACAAAAAAAACTATAGTGACCTGCAAGTTTTAGCTGATTGTACATATCTTTGTATTGATTGATTTATCGTTAAGTTTCAGTACAGAAATGCTGAAGTAGGTTTTTTTAATTAAGAAACATTGTTACTATTACAAAGTTTGTCCACCAGAGAGCAGCAACACGTTTATGTTGTGTTGTAAAATGTTAGTCAAAGAAATGTATTTAATAAAAACATTTAATAAGATTGTTTGCTGAGAAAATATTCACAACTCTTTCATATTTCTTTAACATTTAGAAAATGCATGTGTAAAAAACACTCCGGCATCTGATCATTAAATGATCTACGAGGTACATGATTATTCTTAATTTATATAAATCCAAACTAATGATGCAATTAAAATAAAACCTTAACTTTCTGTTCCTTTTAGTAATTGTAACATTTGAACCTTTAGTAATATCTGATTTCAGAACTCTAAATTCATGGAGCGCTGATGGCCTAGCTGTCAGGTTGCGCCCATGAAGGAGGCTGTAGTCCTCCAAGCGGCTAGCTCAGGTTGAAGTCCGGCCTGTGGCTCCTTTATCTCATGTCATTACCACTCTCTCTCTCTCTCCTCCGTTTCAGACTCTATCCACTGTCCTATTAAATAAATCTTAATAAAATAAATACATCTGAATTTGCTTTTATACTCTGTGATCGCTGCTTCAGGTGCGTCTAACAACCTGTTTCCTTTTCCTAGTACTGACCAATCAGATTGAAATGACAGAATGAATTCATGCTTTTATTCTTCATTCAACCTTTATTTCATCAGGATTGCCTCATCATGGTTGAAAAGAAATCTGCCTTTTTAAAATATTCCCAGTGGAGATAAGAAACAATAACAAAAAGACACAATATCCAAATACCAAATACTCAAACTCCTTTTTAGAATCAAGAGCAACACTTTTACAGATTCTAACAAACAATCTTATTGCTGTCTGAAAAACAGAAGTGTCTGAAAATCACATTTTTCCTTTAGTGAGCAAAAAGTGAAGATGCAATATCTGAAGTAAGACTCCATCCTTTTCAGGGTTTTCTCATGACCTTGGTTTCTCCTCCCTGTTTAGCTCACTGACACTCACATGTGTCTCCCTCCTCTCTGCAGGTGGATACGCCGCTCACAGTCTGGCTATCATGACTGACGCAGCTCATCTTCTGACAGACTTTGGCAGCATCGTGATCAGCCTCTTCTCTCTGTGGATCTCATCCAGGCCGCAAACACACAAAATGACTTTCGGCTGGCATCGAGCAGGTGCTTTCGACCTAACAACACTGATCCAATAGTGATTTATTAAGTACTACTATTTGTTGATGTACAATTCATGTAGCAGACGATGTTATCCAAAGCGACATGCATCAAAGTGTTAGTACAACACAATCAAGGATCTAGAGAGGATAATAATACAATAATTATCATTTTATTTATTTATTTTTGAAAAATTACATACATTACATTTTGAAACAGTACATAAACAGTAAATACAATGAAATATACATGCAAACAAATCAAACAACACTGAGTATGCTTTCTGTAATTACTCATTGTTTTATTTATCTTTCAAGTGGTCCATGTTTGAAAAGGGTGTAGGATGAAGTAAAGAAACATATCCAGCCGACCCCTTTTTTTCTTTGAACCTTTTATAAATTAATCTGAGGTCCAAGCTTTCAAAATAAAGTCAAAGATTACAGATAACTGGCTAAGCAGCTAAAGCAACAAGAAACAGAATATTACACTCATCAATTAAAGGACGGTACAGAGCTTACATCTGATGTTGTTGCATTTTTCTCACTTGATCTTTAATTATATATTCTTTAAATGTGTTATTCTTGGAAAAAAAAAAAAAAAAAACTTCCCTTTAATGTTTTTCATTATTTCACTGCAGGTGTTCCATAAATGAATCCCCTTTGTTGTGTTACTGCAATAAAAGTTTGTTTCAAGAAGAGGTTGAGAAGAGGTCACTGAGTCTCCCTCTAAGATTGAGAGGAGTAGAAGTATAAAGTAGCAGAGAAGGAAAGTAAAAGTACTTAAGCAAATGTTTCAGTTGCTTTCCACCAGTTGTAAAATAATCTCACTGATTGTACCCAAAGGTATGAGTCAAGTTGATTAATATTTGCAACTTAAACTACTTGAATGACTTAATTGTTAAATGTGTAAGTGTTGGGTTTGTTGTGTGCCTCTCAGAGATTCTGGGCATGTTACTGTCGGTCGTGTCCATCTGGGTGTTGACAGCACTGTTGGTCGTATCGGCCGTACAGAGGATCACTGACGGAGACTATGACATCGACACTCAGATCATGCTCATAACCTCGGGCTGTGCTGTTGTGGTCAACGTCCTGTGAGTGTGATGGGTTCAACATCAGGATTCAATTTTTTTTTTTACCGGTGGTCAGACGCTCACTTGAAACTTGTTCACATTATTATTTATTTTTTTAAGGATGATCCTGATCCTCCATCAGTCTGGATCCTCGCACGGTCACAGCCACAGTTTACCCTCCAGCAGCATGCAGAGGGACACACAGAGTCATGGGCACGGCCACCATCACGGCCACGGCAACGCCAGCGTGAAGGCGGCTTTCATCCACGTGGTTGGAGATCTGGTGCAAAGTGTGGGAGTCCTGCTCGCCGCCACCATCATCCACTTCTGGGTCAGTGTCAGCTGAAATACCGAATCGGACAACATCGTTGCATCTGAACTGAAAACGAATCCAACTGAACAATTATGCTGACATGAAACCTACCGACTACACGAGCTATTTCAAAGTCGCAGACACATTTCTAAGCTCAGAATAAAATCCTGAGAGTCTTGCTGGAGTTGGGGCGCAGTCTCATGATCTCAGTCGTTTGGTGTGAGGTGGTCTTGAAACTGGATCCGAGCTGTTTTAAGGCAGTCTTTAGAATCCAAAGCTCTCTGAGGAATCAGGGTGACACCATAAGAAATTTAGTTTGTTTTGTGTCATTCCTAGACGCCTCAACCTTCAACAAATGTCTACTAATCTGCAGCGGAAGAAGCAAATAAAGTAATTTTTCTTATTTGACTGACGTGCTACAAACTAGTGCTCTGCTATTTCAAAAAGCTATTCTAGTCTTTATAGAAATGTATTAAAGATCACTTTTTTTTTAAAGTTGTGTCTGTGGGCCAGACAGAGACAGCTGAAGAGAGACAGGAAATGTTAAGAGGAGAGGGAGTCGGGATGACATGCAGCAAAGGGCAGAGGTCGTATTCAAATGCGTGGCCGCTGTGGCGAGGACTATAGCCTGACTATATTCTTACATGGGGTACGCGACATAACCTGCTGAGCTATCTGGCGACCCCCCTCAAGAAAACTATTTTTAAGTAGAAACCAGTGAGCCTGAGTATCTACGGGTCTTTTGTTGCTTTTTTAACGGATAGAAAAACATAGCTTCACATTGAGTTTCACTGTTTAGTAAAAGTCTCTCCTTTCTAAGAACCCTGGTTGTTACAAACTATTCTTTGTTTTTGATCATCTTTCTGTTTTCCTTCGCAGCCTGAATACAAAGTGGTAGATCCAATTTGTACGTTCCTGTTCTCGGTTCTTGTGGTTGGAACAACTCTGCCTGTCTCAAAGGATATTTTCAGGATACTGATGGAGGGTAAACACTCTACAGCGTTGTCCATGTTGACATAATTGATGAAATGACTCGGGGGGGGGGGGGGGGGGGGGATGTGTGTTTAATGGTTTTGATTTGATGGCCACTGTCATGATCTTTGTTGTCTGCAGGGGCTCCTCAACACGTAACCTTCAGCTCCGTCAGAGATGTGCTGCTGTCTGTCAGAGGAGTAGTGTCTGTTCACAATTTGCACATGTGGAGCCTCAACTTGAATCAGTCTCTACTTTCAGTGCACGTGGTCGCAGGTACGAGCCAAAATCAACACTACCTGTCTTCACCTCATATGGTCTGGGTTTAGAGGCAGGCGTGGGATTGGTTAAGGACAAAAAGCAGAATATACATGAAACCCACTCACTAGACATTATCCCTCTTATTACACAACTTTTTACTTAAGGAAATCAATAGTTTGTTGACGTAAGATTAATTAGATAATTGTTTGGATTTATTTGAGAAAAGGTTATATTTAGTTTGAAACCATTTGCAATGCAATACAGTCTGATTTGAATAATCTTCCGAGGATTTCCGGCAGCATTGGCAAACGCTGAAAATCCATAATTTATTATTTCAAGAGTTTGTCTTTATCCCTCCGTAAGCTCTAATGATCCTGCTTTAATACATATCCTCTTATTCATGCTTTAGTTCAACATTATACTGCTGATTAAATTATGGTTTTATCAGTTGTATCTGCAACTTTATATGGAGCGATCTCAGCCAGATTTCCCTTTTATAAATGTCTCTATGCTTTCAACCCCAATGGGACTTGACTGATATCTGATCAGAAGATGAAAAGAAGATGTGATCATTTCATCAGCAGCCTAAACTGAATCAAAATCAGGTCCTGTTGAGAGCAAATCAGGAACAAGGTCCAACTTAAGAGCGAAATAGATCATAGAAAATGTAAATGTCTTATATTTGATGGATTCTTTAAAATGATTGTTAAGCAGAACTCTGATGAAAATGTCACTATATTTTTGTCCTCAGGGAAAGATGCTGATTCACAAAGCGTCCTGACGAAAACAACGAAGCGTGTGCGCTCTGAGTTTGGTTTCTCCAGCATCACGATACAAGTGGAGCGATAAAATGCCGACTGCTGACTGACCCTGGAGTGTAAGAGACTTGTGGCAGGGCAGGAGCCTTCCTCAAACGCTGGTTACTCCTGCACAAAGCATCTTAATATTCATTTACAGGAACTTTTGCTATTTTTTGAATGTATGGAAGTCAGTTTTTCTTCTGTAAACTGCAGCCCTCCTCTTTCAAGTTCTGCTCCACATATTTTATAGATGTGTTTAGTTACTATCTGTATGTCATCAAATTCTTTTTGTTTACAGATTTATTCATGCTGTTACAGTGAACATGTTTAGGGGTTTGAGCATTATTTTGCTTTTGGCTTCTTTTCCATCAAGCTTGTTAACAAGAGATTTGAGAAAAAATGAGTGATTTTTATGCATGCAGCAGCAGATGTCTAGAAGCCCAGTTACCATATTTATTGAACTATTTACAGGGTTTCTGAGTTCTTCTGGATTTAACTGTTTAACATCACTTTAAATATTTTACACTTGCTCAATATATTTTAAGTGTAATTAAGATATACCTTCTTTGTATTTTTTGGTGGGGTAAATTGTTAATGCAGATCACAATAAATGTACTTCCACTACTAACACCACCTGCATTAATACAGCCAGTGTAACCATTATATTTATTAGACTAGACACATTTCAAACGGACTTACAGAAACATTTAATTTGAAGAATTTGGTAAGATGTGATCTTCCCTAGTAAGGTATTACATGGCAAAATACTAATCCAACTTAAGGAATGACATCCCTTCTCAGGTTAGGAAACAAATGTGGCTTGTCAACCTTAATGTCTGCTACCTTGGAAAAAAACAAAAAAAACGCAACTATAAACACTGCACTGGGCCAAATAACTTTGTAATCTTGTAGATCACAGACAAGACATGAAAAACTTGAGGACAGAAGGAATACTTTGAGACAGATGAGTTACAAGTGTTTGCAACATCTGCGGAAAAATCCCAAACTAACCGAGTGTTCAGTCTTCACACACCATGCACAGAGGCGGTAGTCATGGAGGAGGGCAGCCCAGGTACCAAATCTGACCTGTGGTACCTTTCCCTGCATGCCATTCCCCACTCTCTCTCCCGGATTTCCAACTCTATCCACTTTCCTGTCCCTTCAAAGAAGACACAAAAGGCCCTAAAATAAAGTGTGTGATCTTGGCAAACTAGCAACAACACTGAGGAAATAAGGGAGTTAAAAAGAAGCGTTTGTATAGATCAAACATATTGGTATTGATTCAGAATTTCTCAGTGTAAGGACAGCTTATGAGTTTCTGAAGTTAGATGTATTTAAGGTTTAAGAAAAAAATAATACCTATGCTAAAACAGATTTATTCCTTGAATTAAGTCTCCTAATGCTTATGGTTAGATTTGGAAGATTCTGTAATACAACTACAGACTGATGATAATCTTGTTTCTCATTTTCTGATGATAACATTTTAGGCCTCCAAAAGATTTTTTTTTTTCCTCCTACATCAAACTTTCTTTCAGTCTTTAAGTTTCAAAATAAGAATCTACATTGAAACAAATGAACAAATCATTTAGTAACATCAGTCAGTTTTATTTCAACTGACAATCCTGGTCAGATGATTTTTCATCCTCCTCACAAACATACAGGCTCATAATTCTAGGCTGCACATCATCATCAACAAATTAATTTAAACATTAGTTTCAAGTTACCATCACTCATTATTTTTTCCATTAAGTCTGGATGGAAGTCTTGTTCACAATGGAATAAAAGCACACAGATATGCAAATGTTTTTAATCACGCAGACATCTGGCCCAGATTGCACAAAAATATCCTCCCAGGGAAGAATGTGTGAGTTAAATTGTTCAAAATACTACAAAGAAGGCCAGAATTGTCTGGTCTTTGACACCCTTTCTGAAAGTCTTGAGCCTCACTTTGTCGTCTCTGGGCGTCCATCCTTCCAGTAGTTTTTGTACGCCTCCAGGAACATGCTCTTGCAGGATATTTTAGCTTTGAGTTTGGAGCAGATGAGGAAGGAGCCGCCCATCTTGCGGTGGAGAGAGTACGTCTCCTCTGGAGGCGGCGTGAGTCGCTCCCTCAGCATGACAGGGATGAGGCTGTGGATTCGCTCGGTGGTGCTCTGAGCGCCGAAGTCAAAGGGTTCCTCAGAGGAGAAGGCTTCCCCGAGGATCATCACAGCATCCACGTGGGCGCTCTCCATCGTCTTAGGACAGGACATGAGTTAGTCAACCAGCATTTTTGAATTATTCAAAACATCTTCTAAGAAAAATTGCATTACTATTGATGCTCATTCACAACCACTAAGTGATGAAGCAGCATTACTTAGTTTTATATATTTATCAGGATGAATATATCTGTTTCTTTATGTTTAAATTTAAATAAAGTTCTCACTCGCTATTATGCAGTTTCTATAAGTCACCAGTAGAGGTCAATAACGGTCATAGGTGTCTTAATTCTACATATATTAAATTTGCTCATTGTTGATGTTTCCTGCCGTGTTCACAGATATCCAACCCCACATTTCAGCACCAGATCAACTCTACATAATGGTGTTTGAGTTTCCTACCTTTGACTCGTATCCAGTGAGGAACTTCATTTCTCTGGATTTCTGCAGAACACCTTCCCTGTCCTTGTTTGCAGCTGCATTAATAACCTGATCAGAGAAATTAAAGGGTTGACGTGTGTGAAAAAAAATACAAAAATAAAAGTTATTATTCAAAACAGCCATATCAAAACATCTGAATCCAAGTTTCCATTTGTCTTATGTCATAACATGAAATTCTCTTGTAATACAATGTTGTATATAGATAATATCATTAATATCTTATGTTAAAATTAAAAACCACCCCCTCCACACTGACTGGATTCATATCATGTTATATTAGAGGGGGAAAATACTCATTCTAATGACTGAAAAATTTTGTGTGGATAAAGTTTAGATGTTATAACAATTTTAAGTGGGACAATTAAATGTGGTTATAACAAAAATGTGCAAAATTCTTGCAATAAGATTCATAAATACTGTTTATTTCACCGAGCTGAAATATCCTTACCTCTATGTAAGTGTCAGTGAAGCTCTTATCAAATCCTCGTGTAGCTCCGAAATCCAACAGTGCCACCTGTGGATGAAAAAAATAGACATCAGTAAACTGAAAAAAAAAACAAAAAAAAACATAACTATACAAATAACAAAACCAAAAGGGCACATTTTTGCAAGTGAGACAAACTGACCTTGTGAGCTTGTGGATCAAAGAAGAAGTTGGACCAGTTTGGATCAGTCTGCATGTATCTGAACTCAAAAAGCTCTCTCAGACACAGGATCAAGATTTGCTCACAAATCTAGTGCAACAAAAAAAAAAAAGAATGGAGAAAAAAAACAAAAGAATTGTCATATAAAACCCTGAAAAAACAAACCTCTGATTGTTATTCTAAGCTGGTGCACCATGGGCAGTGACACTGGAGCTCTGTGTGTGTGCTGACATGACTCTGGAAGGATGACTTGGCAAATGCAGAGACCTTTGAAAACCCCAAAGCGGGCGACATGTTGGCAGCTCACAGGTGTAAACTGTCCTGTAGGTTCATGGTCGTCATACCGCATTCCGGAGCTCTTGAGAGAGGTCGGTGGCCTGGTCCAGAGGGAAACCGGGCACCAGCGTTGTTGTCAGGACGTGCTGGTTGCTCAGCTGGTCAATCACATCAGGCACATAGAAGTATGGGTGATCCTTCAGCAGCTCTCTGATTCACAAAAAAAGAAAAAAAAGTCAAAAAGACACGTGGACCTCATCAAGTCAGCAACATGTCAACTACAAAGGGTAATGTGTCTCATTTAGCAAAATATCAAACTAGCAGTTTCTGTTTTCAGTCACGCTACACTAAAAAAAAAAAAAAGCTAGCCACCGCTCATCAGGTATTAACTAAACATTCTTCTTCAGACATTGCTGTGGTCAGTCCTCTCTTCACATCAACATATACCAACATACACTAAACACTCTGTCAGTCACATTGGCTGCAAAAACCCCCCCAAAAAAAAACAGCAACTTGAATGTGACAATAAACTGAAAAGAAAAAACTGTGCCATGCTTTGCGAGCAGTAAAAAACGGTGTGCATCGTTTTTGTCAACCCATGCTTCCCCCATTAAACTTTGTTCTCCTCTTTTGGGAATCACTGCTCTAATCTATCTTCTAAAAGGGGAAATAACACATACAGATACTGCGCAAAATGTCAGGCTAGCAGTATTTATGCTAACCAAAGCTACGGGGCAGCCAGGGATGCTGACTAAACAATATTTTCATTTTTCCTACTGGCAGTAGACACGTATCAGTCCTCTAATCTCGCCCTCAAAAGCAAGAAAAGAAAAGTGGAGCGTCTTGTTGTGCACGATGTCTGGCTAGTGGTTTCCCTGTATCCACTCTTTATGCTAAGCTTTGCTAAGCTAAAGGCTGCTGCTTTAAGCTTGATATTATCCATAAAAGCCAGATGTGATTCACCAGCTTTAAAGTGAGTATGACCATTTTTAATTTTGCCATTTTAGGGCAACATTATTTTCATCCTTTCCAACCTGTCTCGCTAACAACAGTCCATTAAAAATAAATACATCGATATTAAAATACGCAAGACAGAAATGACTCTGAATTCAAAAATTAAAAGGCAAAGAAAAACAAGGTCAATACAGTAGAAAGGAAAAAAACCCAAGAAGTCATTTTGTGTTGCAAGACTAAGAAAGAACTCACTGGAATTTTTTGGCACACTTTGCCTCTCGTATGTAGTCACACTCTAGCGCCAGCTCACGACTCATGACCTCAATAAGGTGATCAGGAAACAGACCTGTGAAGGAAGGATGAATGTCAAACAGCTGTTATCGTGTAAGTGATAAGTCGCTCTCAAACAATGGTACCTTCAGGCAGCGCGTTGCTCAAACTCAGTGCAGTCATGATATTATTCACGTCACTGTCGATGCTCTTGGCAACTCCCGGGTACTGAAACAACAGATTTTATTGTGTCCTTTCAGCGTGGGTTATTTTGTCATAGTTCTGGGTGTTATCTCTGTGTAAACACTCTTCTCACCTGGATCTTCATGGCCACCTCTCTGCCGTCCTTTAGCCTTGCTAAATGCACCTGACCAATGGACGCCGCTGCAAATGGCTTCTCCTCAAAGTACTCCAGCTTGTCTCTCCAGTTTGGGCCGAGGTCGCTGCTGACGGCTTTCTGCAGAGAGAAGAGACAATGAATCATCCATGACCTCGGTCTGCTACCGTTTGGTTTAATATATCCAGAGCTCTCTTTATACTGTACCATCATCTGTTTAGGAGGCATGAAGTCTGCACTTTGTCGAACACGCTCAAAGATTTTAGCCAACTGAGGGTTTATGAAGGCGTCATCTGAGATTAGAGATAAAAGGAGAGGAAAGAGAAAATACTCACTTTGAATCTTACTACTGTATAATGCATGCAGTCAAATGAACACATACACATCTCAAGGGAGAATAGTTTCTAATAGATCCCTGAAATTCTTGAACAAATCCCTAAAGTGACTTGATAGAAAAGTATGAGGGCATTAGTGTGGAGTAAAGGTCTTAGGAAAGTGAGTCAGTTTC